CTCACCTGGCTCTTACTGAGGCTTTGTTCCACCTTAATTTCCTCATATTTGACAATCGTGGTTTCAGTCCAGCATACAAACATTGGTCCTCCTTGCCTTGGGCTATACCTCTGCCACTAGTTAGATGGAGGGATCCTATTTCATCCCTGTGGCAGAAACCAGCCCCCGTCCTGACATGAGTATTTTTCCACAGGATGCTATGACCCCCAACTGGATTCCATCAAGAGACATCCAACCAGCTACGGAAGCCCATCTGGAGACCAGGCCAACTGCGAGTTTGATAAGCCATGACATTCTTTTCTGGCTTCGTTATCTTTGGCACCCTTTTGTCCTTTGGCTGTGCTTCTCCCCAGGCTTCAGATCTCTGGGCACTGGTCCCATTACCACCTCTGATCCTCCCTGTAGATGAACAGTCACCCGCTTTCCTGGTTCTCTTTACTACTAATGAATCCCTCGGTCTCCCCACCATGGAATTGATTCATGTGTCCGTTCCCATAAACGGCACATGGTTCTTTGCAGGATGGCTCTGCTTCAGCCCAGTCCTTAACCCCTCCTCCCCTAATGTCTCTCACTGTCACTTCCTCTTTAACATCACAACAGGTGACTTTCATGGAAACTGAAGCCAGGGCTCCTTATGGAGCCTCAAAATCTGGTCTCCCTCAGTAAAAGACACTTCTGACACTACAGTGTCCTTCGTGCCCCCTGGAGCCACCACCCCTCCCCCCAAGGGTCAGGCGTCCTCCATGGACCAGGTGCCCTCCCACCCATAAACTTCCCACCACACTGTGCTTTCCTATTCCATGGGAACACTGCCTCCCATTCACTCCTGGAAGTATGCTCCTCTTTACTACAGATTATGATGGACGCCCACAGGCTTCCTCCCTGGCAGCCTGGAGACACCTTGTCTCTACAAAACCTTATTCCTATGTCTACCCTGACCCCAGGCATAAAGACACTGTCAGGGGGACCTGGGAGCTCTGTGGGCCGGTGGCTTGCCTAAATTTGTGTCCTCTCTTCTATTAGGTGGAGCCATCTTTAATGGTACATATAAAGGCAATAACTCTGAAACGGGTTCCTTGGGTGTTGCAGACCCAACTTGGACACTTAATAAAGTCTCTGTTAATGTGTTTTTCATTCTCCTCGCCCATTTGTGTTCATCCTCCATTTGCTCTGCTTCTTGCTACTAATGTCATGAGCGACCCGAAGAATACACTTAACTGCTCCCTCGCTAACTGCACTCTCTCGGCATGCTAAATTTTCCCTGCCTCCCTGGTTCTTTGTGTGCAAACCCACAGCAATCTGGGTTCCTGTTCCTAATGCCACTCATTTCCATGCTGTCACTGTCATAAAACAGACAGCTCTCCAACCCTTCCCCCAGGTCAAGAGAGATTTTGGTATTACCGCGGCAATTGTCACTGCCATTATCCTTTCCTTAGGGGGCTGCAGCCACTGCTGCTGTTACTATCACTCAATCTTCCACTACTGTGAAAACACTCAATGAGGTCATATCCAAAACCTCTGCAGCCTTACACACTCAATCTCTTATTAATTAACACCTCTTCCAGGCCATTTCTGTCATCCAACAACATGTAGACTTCCTCAGAGATGGTGATCATCAAACAGATGACGCTAATGGCCTGTGACCCACAGTTCAAAGCCCTGTGTCTCACACCTTACAAAGTAGATAACCTTGCTAGGGCCAGGATGGAACTCTCACAGTACATCCATGGCCACTGGAGCCAAAAGTTTTTCAACTACTCGACCTTGCTCACAGACCAGATCATCTCTCTAAATTATACACGGGCTCAGACATTAGATATACTCACTGACCAGATCATCTCCCTAAATTATACACGGGCTCAGACATTAGATAAAAATTCTGGGTTCCTTGACAAACTTTGATCAAACTTAAAAGCTTTGTTTGACCCTTCATGGATTGTTACTTATTTACTCTTGGGTATCATAGTCTTAATTCTTTTCTTGCTCATGAAATGTCTTGTTCTACGCTTCCTCAGACAAAACTAGTAAATTACTCTGTTTATCAGGTTCCTCAAGGATCCAGACTTCAACCGTCCCCGCCCCAGGTCCAGCAGGTCTGGCTTGCTGACATCCGAGAAGCAGCTGTGTAACTTCTTGCCCTCCTCCTCCCTCACATGGTCATGCCAGAGATCACACCCTTCGAGGACTGGTAGTCAATGACGGGTAAGATCCTGATGGTCAGGATGACCTAAGGCAGGCACAGTCCATCAAGCTGGGTGCCCTCTGAGGTGGGGTCAACTATGTCAAGGCAAAGAACCTCAGCTCCCACTGACTTTTCTATAATAAAAAGGGATGGATATGTAGAAGAGGAAGTGCCAGGCCTAAGCACAGGCTGCACTAGAGAACACAGCTTTCACCTGGAGAGCGCAGGCCCTGCTTCCACGAGCCAACCTAATCTGCCCCCTGACCTAGAGACTGATGATGCGAGAGACCTGGATGAGGGGATCTACCAGGGAGCAACACACCAGCTTATAGGACACTGGGGGCAGGGGGAGAGATATATAAGGCCTGCCCTTTCCAGCAATAAACCAGTCTGCAGCACCTGCCTAGTGCCTGCTTCCACCTGACTCCTGGTGTCAGTGTGTTTACTCCATGCTGCTCACCCCCACCTCAGCCAGAACTCTCATTCCCTGCAGTCCCTCCTGGGCTGGACCAGCAAGGAAACCTACAACAACATGGGGAATACCTTAGCTAAGTTACTTAACTATCTATGTTGAGCCATCATCTTCAAATGGGACATGTGTACATTATGACATAATCCTAAATACTATCATTAGAGTACTCAAATGTGGTTGTGAGGGCCAAATAGTCACATAAAAATAGCACTCCATTCTACTGATTTCCTGATACCCATGGGACTATGCTATAAGGAGCTGAAAACATGGCTAGATAGATGAAACCAGCCAGCTGGGTGGATACTGGTTGTTGAAATAAAGCAGGAAGGACATGTCATTATTAATGGAAAGACTTGGTTTTGGATTTGTGGCAGCTGTGGCACCTGTGGACAGTCAGGTGGATGCCACTAAGCATGCCAGCAGTCTGCAGGTCCAACACAGTGGACATTATTTGCCTATAAACCATGAAAGCAATACTTTGATGGGCCCAAAGTAAACGAAATGAGCTAGAAGCTGGAGCTTGGGAAAAGCAGCATTTAAAGGAAGGTTAGCCTAGGCTGTGGATGGTTCTAGCGGGTAGGCATACCATTCACCAAAGGGTCAATGGCTACACTCTATGTGCACTTTTCCAAAACAGAACTTATGCCTTTCACTAGATTCTCGGAGAGTCCAATCCTCCCAAATAATAATTAAAAAGGCAAATGCTGCTAGTCAACGGCAGTATGGACCACTTCGGAAGATGGTCTCCAGGGGAGAATGATGCTCTTTAATACCGAAGGCGACCCAAAGCCCCCTGGGGGTGGAGGGCGCTGGTGCGGAGGGGAGGTAACGTGTCAAGCCGCCAGGGCCCTGGGCTCACCGCAGCGGAAAGGCTCCAGCAGCACGTCGGCCTGGGTGCACAGACGCCGCAGCACAGCTACTCCGCGCGGCCTCTTCAGGTCCAGCACCAGCGAGCGCTTCCCGCGGGCCAGGCCTTTGGCGTAGCTGGGGGTGTCCGGCCGGTCCACGCTCACCACCTGGGCTCCGAAGTCAGCCAGGACCATCCCGCAGAACGGCCCGGGGGCCAGGCCGGCCAGCTCCAGGACCCTGATGCCACTTAACGGCATGGCGCCTGCTGGGGAGAAGATAGGCGTTTGGCCCCACACGGCAGGCCTAGGTCAGGCTCAGCACTGGCAGCCACCCGCCCCCAGCGCCACCCGCCCCCAGCGCCACGGCGCCTGGGTGGGGCTGCCCAGGAGTCTGCGCACTGGCACGCTTCCTGGGGTTGTCCAGGGCGCTAAATTCTTTGTGCTGCAAGGCTCTGCTCCAACTTTTCAGTCCTGCAGCCTTGCTTGAACTTCGGAGCTGGGTTTTTTGCGGGTCCTTTTAGGATGCTGTTATTGTGCCACCAGAGTACGAAAATAAATACCTAAATATGTACGAACACTGCGAGGTTATTTCCTCTCCTAGGCTGTCTTCTTCACCACCCCTAAACTTAGTTAGAACGATTTCATCCAAAATTAGTTTGAGATCCCTCCTACTTCCACTTAGGGACCTGAGTTCAGAAGGGAGGCGGGGAATGTAATGCAGTTGATAGAGTGCTTGCCTAACAGTCAGAAGCCGGTATACTGGAGGTGGAAAGCTGTTGGAACGTGATGATAATTAAGAACTTTACAACTGGGAAAACTGTTGCAATGTGATGATAATTAAGAGACAGGCATGGGGGAGGTGAGCAGGAGTCTCCCATTCTGTCCTCTGTGGTTGCCCAGGATGGAAGTCTTTGTTTTCCAAAGTTTTCTCATTCCTGTAACCGTTGTGGCCATATGTTACCTTGCTTAATTATCACATGTACCTTTTACTTAATTGTCACCTATGTGCTGTTTTGCTTTTGTTTGCATTTCCCCACACATGAGTATAAAAGCCCCCCAAAACTTGAACAAGGGCTCTGACTCCTTTATTGGTGGTGTCAGTCCTGCTAGTGTCAAATTAAACGTCCTCTCCTCACCTGACTTCGGCTATTGGTCTCTGATTTTTTTCCATAACACTGAGAGTTTGATACTCAAAAAACTGCTGTGGTGTGTACGCCCTAAATCCCAGCATTGGGGATGTGGAGGCAAGAGGATCAGAAGCAGTCATTTCCATATACATAGGGAGTTGAGTGCCATCCTAAGTAGTAGTACTCATGGGGAGCTAAATGAGAGTGCTCTAAAAATCTTTGATCTGTCAGGTGTCAATTTTATGAACAATTGCGATTTTGAGTTTGCAACTTTTTCCAACCTTTAAAACAGTACAACAAAATAATCAGAAATACTCAACGAACACTTAGGAATCATTTTCTCCGCAGTGGGTAGAACTTGTGTGCACATGGCCTGGTGCAATTTTGAAAGCTCTAAGAATATGAATGGAGCTACAAGTGAGTGCTAGCAAACTCCAGCATGAATTCTTCCCAGGAGGGACAGATAGTAAATGCAAAGGTGTGGGTGCAAAGGCATAAATTGCTCTCACCTCAAAGGGGATAAGAGCTTATTCTGGAGCCAAATATGAGTGACCGTGGTCTGGGAACAGAGATTCAGGTTACCCCAAATTCCATATTCCAGCGTGGTAACAGTTTTATTATGTTTTATAGTAAGAAAACAAAGTCATAAATCAAGACACTTTTCAAATACATTGGTGTAGCAGGTCATGGGGTGGGGTTCTACTACAGGTCTCAGGTGCTATCTGATGACATTCTTAGCTTTTTGATTGTGGGACCTGGTGGTCTGCTAAGTTAATACATTATAAAAGATTTTTATCTGTTAGTCATAGGATGTTAGGTCAGAAACAGTGATGGGCAAAGAAATGGCTATTTAGGGGCTCAAGGTGGCTGAGATAAGTGGTCATCAGGCTCTGGATCTACAACATTCCAGACTCCCCACAATCCCTGCAGCACTAATCAGTTGGTCAGCCTTTCAGGAAATTCAGTCCAAGGTGAAGGATTTTCTGGGAACTTTTTCATTCACAGGTGAAAATCTGCACAATTATAACCAAAAATCTTTTGGCAAACTTGAGCTACTCTGTGAGTTTTAGAACACTTCAGAGCAGGGGTCTGTGATCTCCCAGAATGAGGTGCCTCGCACTGAGGAGAGGCATGCTTTCTTTCTCAGCTCTCACTGCCCTGCCTGCCGGTCTCCTTTTCCTACCATGTTCCAGCCTAAAGGTCCTGTTCTCTCTCTTTATATTTTGAGAAGCTGAAAAGGGGAGAGAAAATTGCTAAGACTGATGTGGCTGACTTCCACCCTGAGATATTAACATTTCATCACAGATGCTTCAATTCTATTTTTCTGAAAAACCAAGAGTACAGATGTAGCTTGAGGTAACACACAGAATCATCTTCATATGAATGAGAGATCTTACCCAGCATCAAGCTTTACAAATCATTTCAAAGTAGTGAATCATTCCAAAGGCTCAGAAAGAGAGCACTAGGGAATCTCAGCACTCCAGATCTTTCTTCTGGTGCAGACCCTCCAGCTTTTAAACATTAATCAAAGGGAATAGTCATATGTATAATGCATACACAATTATATTCATATTTTTAAAGAATGCTCATGATACATTATTTGTGATTAAAAACAAAATCTGGAAAGCTGGGTATGATGGCACATATCTGCAGTCCCTGTGGAAGTTAAGCCAGGAATATCAGGAGTTCAAGGACATCTTTGACTACATAGCAAGTTTAAAGCCAGCCTGGGCTACCTGAGACTCTGTTTCAATAAAACCAAACAATACAAAAACAAAACCTGGAAGCAACAACAAAAACCCAAAAAAAGATTAAATAATGTACTAATTGAGATAAAATTTTCAAATGGTTTGAAATGATACATTGTTAGGTCAAACAGGATAACAAGTTATAAAAACACGCCAACTGATATTCTCCCTTAGCAGCTTGTGTAGTACTCTTCAAAGATATGAGAGCTAGCCTTCAGGGGAAGTGACTTCCATGCCAGTTCCAGCTCCATTGCTCCAAATCCTGTGTCCAAAGTATGGCCTGTCTTTAGCAATAGGACCCTACCTTCAAGTTCTGGGAGGCAATCAAGAGCTGTATCAATAGCATGTGTAATTTTGGGAGTCTCTTGGACTACCCTGGCCAACAACTCAAAGGGAGGTTTCTCTTGTCAGGCACTGTTTCTTGTTACGTAAACTTCAGCTATACAAATGGATCCATTTAGAGATATTATATATGTAATTTGTCAGTAGGTTTTTAGACTAATAGGATTCCCTCTGGTATTTTACATTAGCTAGGCATTATTTAGCTCTTCTCTCTCTCTCTCTCCCTCTCTCTCTCTCTCTCTCTCTCTCTCTCTCTCTCTCTTCCTCCCTTCTCTCCCCATTTAAAGTATCCCTATTTTCCCCATTTCTTCCTTGATAATACCTGTCTCTTATGGTCCCACCTCTCTTGGGCTCTTTCTGAGCTGCTAAGGAGAACATCAATCAGTGGTCCAACCCCAGCTTTAAGACCTAATAACTACATCAATGACCGGCATCGCGAATGGCATTGATGCAGTAGTGGCATTTTTATCTTGGGGGTAATCAACAGCTACCTAATTGGACTTAAAGCCCACTCAATGGAAGGAAAGTCATGTGTGGTACTATAAATATAATACACATGGCTTTCTAGAGAAAACCCCAAGGCTGTCACATCCCTAGATAAATGTAATTTTTTTTAATTTTTACAAACACTTTATTGAGAATTTCATACACGCATATAAGGCATTTTGATCAAATCCATGCCCACTCCCTCCCCTCCAACAGTCCTCCCTCTGAACAGGTAACCCTAAAATCTTTTAAGGATTAGATACAAGCTCCCAAATACTTTTGACATTTTGGGCTTGGGACAGAGTATATTGCTAACAGACCCAAGGATATTTTGACTTTTATCCAAGAAACTGGCTACATTTCTTTGGGGTCTTTTGACCTTAACTGCCTAGCCAATTCCTACCTCCTATTCTTATCACACCATCCTCTGCTAGATCAAACCTAAAAGAATATATTTTTTATATACATACAGAAATGTAATGCTTTTTCCATCATAACTATGGACTTAACATGGACTCCAGCTTTAATCTATGAAATTTGAAGTAGTAGCAAAAACAGCATGAATTTTTTTCTTCTTCTTCACAGTTCCACAGATATATTTACTAATGTTTTCAGCAACTTCAACATGTGATTTTTTTTCTTTCCTTTTTAAACAAACTTTTCACTTAAGGGAAGCACTTTGTGGATTCTTTTCAGCACATTCAAATTGTAAGTATCACTGCTCTGTGCTTTGGGGCCATTATTAAGTACTTGAACACAAGCACTGGTATAAGGCAACAATTAGTGTGATAAATGAGAGAGCTAAGTGGCCAACAGGCTGGTGGCATATGCAGTGTGGATATGCAGGACAAAGGGAAGGTTCATGTCTAGAGATGGAATGAGAGCATGAGACTTCATTATGCTGCTCAGAATGAGATAGAATTCAAACCTTATGAATTGCTCATTTCTAGAATTTCAATTTGGTAACCTCAGTTAACTGCACTTCATTGAAACTGAAGAAGACATCACCACAAGTAAGAGTTGACTACTGTGTGATCATGATCACACCTAAAATTGTAGAAGCATTGATAATTATTTTGGCCTTCCACCTCTCTTGTACATCACCTTTCTTCACCCTCTGGAGGTCGTTTGCCAGTTTAAGATATTTTACACTCACTCCTGTTACCAAATCCATGGGTAGCTCTGCTAGTATGAAAATCAGAATTTAGACACAAGCAGAAAGATTTCAGGTATGCAATGAAGACCCGTATACTCAGGAATATTCAAGTTTTAAGAGGGGACCCTCTAACCATTAATGTCTCAACAAGTTGAAGGTATAACAAGGAATATGTGAAAAGTGGGGTTTTGTGGAGGCAGGTGATCTTGCTCTGTTCCCACGTTACTGAGTTGCATGCTGTTTACACTGTGTGAAGGTCTAAGCTCTAATCTGAAATCAACTCAGAGCTGGAACAGGAAGCCTCAGTTCCCTGGGAACCTGAATGTTCTTGATCTGAAATTATTCTTACCATGAGACTGACTGTTCCTTGAACCCTATTAAAGGTACATAAGTAAGCTTGTATAATAAAGCTACAAAGATAGATAAGATCCCCAAAAGGACTGAGCCCTGGGAACTTGAAGATATTATAAAGGTCAGGAAGGTACTGCGAATGTCA